TTTGGACTGGATTTCAGGATGAAATGGTTCTGCTGAGTGTTTTGAGTAACATTCTCGCCAGTTTAGAACCATTTACTAAGGTCTGTATCATTTACATGTGTTATTTTAACAGTCTCTCCGAAACTCTTTTTTACTTTTTTCGTGGGTTACGCAAAAAAGAGACATAATACGTCAAGCCTTGCTAGAGTTCAAAAATTGTCATACAATTTTCCATTATTCAACTACGCCCCAATGTTTAAACTTTTCACTGTCTGCCGAATTTGAAAATTTACCAAACTTTCTAAATTTCATTTTGTTAAATGCTGATAAACAGTACCAAGTGAAAGTACTGCTGAAGAGGTTTCATTTGAATGGCCACACCAGAGGATTTCATCCACAGAATCCAAAGTTATAACTACATACTAAATAAATAGTACCATGTGAAAGTACTGCTGAAGAGGTTTCATTTGAATGGTAACACCATAGGTTTTCATCCACAGACTCAAAAGTTAGAACTACATACTAAATAAATAGTACCTTGTGAAAGTACTACTGAAGAGGTTTCATTTGAATGGTAACACCATAGGAGTTCATCCACAGACTGAAAAGTTAGGACCAGCTCTTAAAACTGAAACTCCATCGTTTGCTCTTGGACCAAAGGTTAACAGAACATGTTAGAGTTGTTGATTGTAGTCGTCTCGGCGTAAAGCAACTTTGATAACATGTTAAAAGTCTTAAAAGTAAAAGAAGTCTAAATGAAGCAGCCCCTTTCCTAGCGTTTTTCTTGTTATGCAATCAAGAACATGGCAACTGGAGACTTAAATTCTATCCTGCGAAAACAGCCGTTTCTCCTCGCTCTTCGCCGCTGAGGACGTTTCGCGAGGAATAACCGCGGGAAACGTCCCCAGCGAGAAAGAGCGAGGAGAAACGGCTGTTTTCGCGGGCTACTTACATTCTTCAGAAAATGTGAGTTTGGGAGGGCACAAAACCTTATACTGTGAGCGCGCGTTCGGTTTCTATTCCAACGCGCTTGTGATCTCCTCAAAAATCTTTTAATATTGTTACTGTAGGTGCACAAAGAATTGTTGAGGGAAGATGTTCTTCAGCCATTTACCGAGGGAATAGAAATCAAAACTGATGATCAGAGGCTAGTCGAGGTAGGTGCTGAGTTTAAAAGTCGCTCATGCAAATTTCTGTTATTCCTGCACATAACAGGATTGACTTACTGAGACGCGCACGCGAGAGCTCCATGAAAAATCATTAGCTATGAAGGCTACCTCTTTCTATTCTTTCTGGAAAAACGTTGACGTTACACAAAGAACTTGTGTGCTTTGTTCAAGACTCACGTTTATTTCATCTATATAAGGCCATTTTTTTCGAAGCATCCTTTCCATACTGCTCAAATAGTCTGTGAACAGGCCCTCTGTTCATCCTTTCCCCAAACAGAGAGCCTGTTCACAGGCTAGTGCTCAAAGTGTGCTCAAGATTGCCTTATTCTGCCGAAAAAATTCCCCCTTCAAAAATCGCTTATTCTTTTCAAAATTTTTCGACAGTATTGAAGCCTGAGATAGCCCTTATTGACCAAGCAGGTCAAAATAGCTGGATATTGGATATTACTGTAACTAATACACCTTCATTGGTTTTTACAAGACTTCCTCTGATGACGATAGAATTAACGGCAAGGAGATAGACAATCATAAGATTGAACTGCTCTTTCACGAGACAACGAAGAACTTTGACAAGCTGCCAATACAATACCGGGTAAGGAATGCAGTAAACATTTGGCCATCTTCTTGAAATGAAAGTCAAGTGAATTAAACATATCGCGAGACTAGAACCAACTGAACCGTTAGGCTTCCAAAGTGTAAAAAATGTATCAATGTGAAGAGAGAAAACCGAAGACATAAAATGACGATTCAGTTTTTTTAGAACAACTGTTGATTCTCTGCAACTGTTTACAGTTGTCTACGGCTGCAAGACATGTGGTGTCACATGTGAACTCAGTAATTTATCTAGTTCGCTAAGCATCTCCCCACTGATGAACTTATATTTTCATTATGTTTCATATTCAGGGTTTCTGTGGTTGGTCCCTGGTCGTTTACGATCGACTTTTAATTCCGTCTAACCCAGCCAATGGCGTGCTTCGTTATAAAGACAACTACTACGCCTTCTGCGACAAACAGGCTGCTTACGAGTTTGCAAATGCCCCAGATAGGTAAGACTTTTGAACTTTATTGTTGGTTACACACACCGCGAGAATAGCAGGCGATTTATCGTGGTTTTCCAACGTGGTTACACTCAGGGTTTTTTTCCGCGATAACGGAGAAGCGCGGTATCGGTACTCTCTACGTGATGCGCGTCTTTTACGCGGGAAATTTCATAGCCACGCTTTTGATTGGTTGGGTCTTTTCGGGGTAGTGGCTGGACTCAGAAATCCAAAGTAAACATCTGGGAAGCTGTCATTGGTTGTTTCCTTTGAACTTCAACTAGTTGCCATAAATATGACCCACGGTAAAATTTTCCTACAAAGGAGGGTCTTATCTGTGGAAAAATACTCAACGATAACCGCAATTATTACTTTTTTTTGTCAAATCCTTCTGAAAATGGCTAAAAAGTTTGCCCCACTCGCTTGTTCTTTCTGACTGCGCGTTTTAGCCGTAAATTACAGTTTTTTATCTTTTGTTTTTTATGTAGCTATATCAACGGTGTAGCAGAAGCAGCGAAGAAGTCTCCTGAACTCATTCAACTACTTGAATTGCACACCCAGTTTGCATCAATTACACCCTACGCACAGGTAAGATTAACCTATGTGACACTATAACGTTTCTCAAACGGCCACGGCGCAATCCAGTTTCAACGTGGTCACCTCTCTTCAGCTCCAGTTTATTCTCCCAAGTTTTAAATAACTGAACGAGTTGGAATAATCGCGAATTAGTTTAAAAGGACGCGAAGTTAGTTTTTGTTCACGTTTTAAGTGGCGTTCTCCGTTATCGTATTGTAAGCCTAGGTCCCTTTTGTTTAAGGCAGAACCGAGTACATGTACAGTATCAAGCACTCTGGAGCAGGCACAGGGTTCCCAAACTCACAACAGCCCACTGAGCGTCAGCCCATCAGAGCGCGAAGCAGATACGTGCACTCGACGCCAAGCGCGAAAAAAAAAAAACAAAACAAAACAAAAAACAGCAACACCACCAACAACAAAAACAAACAGGCAGCAAGCAATTCACGTTTTTTGTGGTATCCTTGCCATCGGTGAACTGGTTCGTAACGTCTAGTCCAATACAAACGCAGGGATGCCCAAAAAACAAAACATGCGAAAAACCTCTAGTAATGTTATGATATTTACACAGGGAAGGGAACCAGGCAGAATGATTGAGGCTCCAGTCACCAAATGTGACAGTGGAACACAGACAGATACACACTTTATGGAGTCTAACATTGTAAAGTCATATGAGTGGAACGAGTGGGAACTTCGGCGAAAAGCCCTGAAACTGGTCAGTGATCACAAATTCTACTTTTCTATACCGCATGCTTGGTGGAAACTACTCTCCAATCAGATTCTGAATTTAAATCTACGAAAGGCGATCCTTGTGGTTTGGCTCGGTTTCGTACACTTTAGAGAAGATCAACTGCTCAACTAAGCTAATTAAGCAGTCGATCTTCTCCAAAGTGTACGAATAAATTTCATGTCGTTGAACGAACACACGAGATAGCATTGTTCTGATTGTTACCATCCAGAAATCCCCATCGAATGAGATAGCTGAGGGCCATTCCATTTAATACACACTCCTTTATGAAGTACTTTTGATATTTCATGCCTTAGAAAAATAATTCTTTTTCCCCAGAAAAATGCAACCATCCAGAAATCCACATCAAAATAAATAGCAGAAATTTGCGAGTTGAAGTGTAATTCTTTGTTTTTGATGGAATTTGTTTTACCTTTGATGAAATAAGTAAAGAGAATGCTCAAATCTAAGTGTAAGTTTAAGCCGTTCCTTTACGTTCCTTATCTAGGCTAACCTTCGTACAAAACTGACACATTCGATGCAGACCGACTTGAGTAACTTTAGAAGAGATAATGACTCACAAGTCTACCTACCCAAGTAAGTGCTCTGAAAATGTCATTGATTTTTTGAAAAATGAATAAATAAAGCTAACCTTAGAGTTCCCTCAATCTGCGAAGCGTGGTTATGTATATTTTGAACCACATACGACAGGGAAAACTGTTCATGACTTAACTTTCAAGACTGTCTCAACTTTAAAGGCCTATCGCTCAGAAAAATAAAAGAAAAAACATGACGTCATAAAAGCATTTTTGACGTCAGAGGTTTAGCGCGCGCTTGCAGAAAAAAGTGCGCGAGAGCGGGAATTATACGCGCGGAAACTCGAAGGTACTTTTTGCCGTCTTTTACATTCTGTGCCAAAGTTTCTGTTAGTTTTATGCAGTGGATTAAATTTATTTTCCTCTGTTTCTTATCATACTGCACTGCCAGACTCAAAAACAAAGAAAAATAATATTTAAACCAAAAATGAAATAGAACCAAAACATAAACTTAAACGTTGTTAAATTTTGTAACAGCCATTAGTGACCCCCAAAAAGTTTATTTTTGTAGCAAATGTAAATACTTTCTTTGTTATCCTCGCTTCTTCCAGGGATGCGGTTACACAAACGAAGCGAGAGTCTTCAACAAATGTTCCAAAACCGTCTACGTTTGTCGCTGGTTTGCGGGGCTGCAACTCGACAAAAACTACCATGAATGTTGTGGATCTTACGTTGGACGTTGATCAAACGTGAGATATTTCGTGCGCCTTAAATGATTCAACAAAGGAGGCAGTTTTAGCGAAGAATTTTTGTAAATAAACGTTTGTTCACCCTGTCGATATGTCGACAAATAAAGATTTTAGTAGTGGTTGAATTTCGTATTAAAGTCTTTAAGTCTAGCTCTGTTGTGTTTTCTGCCGCATAAAGAGGTTGAGGCAGCGCAATTCATTCATATCCAATACGTATAATTTTTACAGGCGAACAAGAAAGTCTTGAGTTTAAATTAAGTTTATTAATTCCATATTATTTCCAGTAGTGTTACATAAAATGTACGAAAGATTTTCTACATGTCATTGATGACAAACTTGTTCAAGTTATGTCCTTTAAGGAGAGAAGCAGTGAAATCGATGAAAAGCGAAAGTCGTTAAAAGTTTTCTTGTTCAATTTCAAAATAACTATAAATATCTTTAGTTAATTCCCAGCACCTTTGAGGCGGTTGCGGACTCTCTGTAAGGAAGGAAAAATAAAGCACGTCAGATAAAAAGTCTTTCACTGCGAAAAAGAGAAATCTTCAACTTTTTAATCAGATCCTACCTTGCCGTACAATTGTGCTCGCAGTCTATTTGTTCGGTAAAAAGCTTGTCGCTTCACTTGCTCATTTTTCGCTTTTACCTCAGGTAGATTCTTGTACAGTCTATAAAGGGAGGTGAAGAAACATTAAAGACGAAGATTAGATTGTCAAAGCGTACACCAGCGGTAAAACACAGCGTTCAAACGAAACCGGCGGCGAGGTTAAGGTTTTGCACCAAAATAATATGCACAAGGATTGTTTCAGATGTTTTAAATTTCCCTTGAGATGACTGTGATACCCAAGGGAATTTTAAACAATGAATACGCAAAAGGTTGTGGCTCGAAAGGGGGGTTTCGTGGACACTGCGAAAGAGGCGAATATAGACGGGGCGGCCCTGTCTCTTGCACGGTGCGAATACAATGACTCTCAAATGAAGTCATTTTTTAATTGTTCTAAAAATGTAGAATTCTCCTGGGTAACTTGATTCAAAAGTAGTACAGGAACTTTTAGTCGTGATGAACAGTATGCAAAAAGAAACCCATTTTCTAGTTTCCAGCTCAGAGCCCGCGAACGGCAACCAGCTTCCTGCGTGCTGACAAAGGGGAAAACAAGTTCTAGCCCTAGGTTTTCAAACGTTGGATAGCGCTTTCCATCGGATATATAACTATCCAGCGGATAAACATTACAGAAACAAATTGCGCTATCCACTGCCGGGATAGAGATTTGTCCAGCGGATAGCGCTATCCACCTTTTGAACAAACTCTGCCCTGGCGACAAGACTACAGGCAGACAGGTCTACTAAAGTTAATCAGTTTACTTCATTTTGTAAAAGTTCTTCAGCTGATTTACCTTTTGTTCAATTCTTTTATCTCTGCTTGAGTCATCTGCCTTGGTTTCGGTACATGAAGTTGATCTAAAGGTGGATTACAAAAGTTTGAATCATAGTATAATGTAACACAAATTTAAGCATCACATCTCCAACAGCTCTTCAAGCGCATAAAATCATCAAGGTCGTACAGGAAATGAAAGTGCACAACAACTTTATAATCATGGAGTGATTTTAAAGGAAGTTTAAATCAATAAACCGCAGGCGGAGGGTAAGAAAAGGCTACCAATTAAATGTTCTTTACACTTTTTTAAAATTTGGAAGTTCTGGTGAGGGACGTAAGATCATTAAATGGAATGCACAAAACTCAATTTGATCGCGCACGTTTCGACCTTTTACCCCTCGTAATCTGATCATGCGTGTTTTGACCATCTGTCACGTGAAACTTTCGCAAAGCACAGCGTTGGAGCAAAAGCGTTTGGACCTTCGATACGTTGTCGCCTTCACTCCATAACCTTTGGTTAGTACTAGTTCGACGAGGTCTACTGGTTACGCGTCGCCTAGAATGGGAAGTTCACTACAAGCTTAGCGACAAGAAAACAACAGCCTCACTCACCAGCACCCTTTACACGTGGCTTGAACTTAGGAGAAACAACATATTCCAGACGTTTTGCTCTCTGAGCCTCTGCGATCCTGTTTTCCTCTGTAGCAGTTTCTGCAATCATTTTACGTCTGTCTTTCTCTCGTGCAGCCTGTTCAATTCTTGCCACTCTCTCCTGTGAACGCTTCACAAACTGAGGTCGTGCGTACAAAAATGCCTCTTGAAGGCTAAGTTTCTGAAGAGAAGGGGACGGATTGACCGCAGAATCGAACACATCCACTCGTAATTCATCACTAGTGCGACTTCTACTCGGCGTCTTGAAATTTGTCTCCGTTCTTTTTTCGGTCTGCGTTTTGCTCGTCAAAGGTAGAAACCAAGTGGGAAGTGGTCCCCTACGTGTTCTGTCCGAACTTCTTTGGGCACCGTGACCCGGAGAGTTCTGACTGGCTACCAATCGATCTTTCGGTTTATGCTTAGATTCTCGCTGGTCCACTCGGTATATGAGATCTGACTTTGAGGGCGAGGGCTGAGAAATAACTCCAAACTCTTCGGCATCTCTAAGAGGACTCTTGGCTGACTTACGCTGGGATTTCATAGGTTCACTGTCAACCAGTCTCTTTCCTCTCCGTCTGATGTCAACTTCTTCCGTTTGCGTACTAGCGTCTTCATGCTGCCGTGAATAATCGGAGCTGGGAGACTGGCTCCTTGAGACGACTGGAGTAGGAATGTTGACACCAACATCTCGTTTCTTTGGCATGCCAAAGTCCATGCCATTGTATCTTTCTTCTCTTGCCCTGAGACCATATGAACCAGTCGTCTGTGCGACAGGCCTTTGTGAGCAGGTGCATGGGATTTGTGGCTCTGACCCTGTAGGTCTCGAGGTAGAAATAGGTATATCGAATGCTTGTGGTCTCGGAGGGTGTGCCACTTCTGAAGGTGCCCCTCTGTCTTTTTCTGGAGTCTCTTCTTCTCTTTCCCTTCCAGCTGTTCCATCACTCGATACAAATGACGCAGACTCAGTTGAAGTGTTTTCTCGAACTCTAACGATTGGCGAGATATCACGTGCCTTGACAGACTTAAGCAATTCTCTCAGTCGTATCTTATGTTTGATGGAGGAGCGCATATGAGGCTCCATGAAGGCGTAATTGAAATACTCAGACACGTCCGACGAACCACTCGACGAGCTCGTCTTGTGTTTTTTACTTCTTTTACTTGGCCATCTGGACGTAGGGATGACGGACATTTGAGAGGACGAGGAAATACTCTCGTCTGTCGACTTTGAGATAAGAGAGGACAACTTGGAAATATTAGCATCCAGCCTTGCATGCGAGTCTTTCCCATCGCGAGAGCGATGATGAGACTTGCTATCATGGTGCTTTCTACTCCTCGATGCCTGTTCTGGCTGCGTTTGAAGGGAGGAAGAAACAAGCCTGTCAGCAGGGTACTTTGATCTTGATTTTCTTGAACTACCGGATCTTCCACCGACAGAATGGGCGGTACCTTTTGAATCTGTGCTTTCCATATACTGCCCAGCTAACCGCCTTGATCTTTCTCTAATATCAAGTGCTTCCTCTAGCGTTCGCTCTGACGTACTGTTACAGACAGACGCGTCTTGACTAGCGGAAGGGCGTGACTGGTGACCATGCGAACGGTCAGACCTTCTTTCCTCACGTGAATGATAATCATCGTCGTGATGATGGAAATCGCTCTTTCTCAGCACCTCACGTGCCTGTTTACCTTTGCGAACATTCGATTCTCTTACCATCCCATAATCTTTTGTTCTCGGCCTTCTCAACCCTTCATCCCTTTCCATACGACCTTCGTAATATTCCAGCCCTGGTTGAGTTGTTTCACGATAAACGGCAGCACTTCCAGCTAAATCAACGTCTTCCCTTGACAGCTGCCTACTGCCATCTCGAACACTATTTGGTGTAGAGTCCCCTGAAATGTAAACCACGCCCCCACGGTTTTGACTTGCATTTTCTCGTGCAGGGTTAGGTTCAAGACCAAGAGCCTTACGACGCCTGTTCGTGCTTCCAGGACCAGACGACCTCCGTATGTCGTAAATACCGTACGATGAGGTACGGTTTTCCTGGTTCTCCAGGCCATCCCGATATAAAACGGGCCTGTACATCTCATCTGAGGATGAGAAGTCGGTAGTTGAGTGGCTTCCGGTCTGTTTCGATGCAGTCAAATTGCGATCATTGGTCTGAGCTGAAGCGTCGTCTTCTTCAATACTCTGCTCTTGCAACGTTCCATTCTCTAATACGCTGGATCGTTCTGTAATTGGACCCAGGGGTGTGGACGACTTTTCCTTTTGTGAACTCAACTGACCCAAGCTAGTGACAGATATGGGAGAAATGGTACCTGCTCCGAGAGACCAGTGTAAGGACTTGATATGACTGTCATCCACTTGTATTGGAGTACTAAGATCACCATCCTGACTCTGCCTTTGCGGAATGGAAGATGATTCGTTTTTACCAGGCAGTCTAGTAGCAGTATCTATTTCCCTAGACCTTCCTGCATCTATTCTACTGTCACCATTCTCCATTTCCTCAGACCGTTTCTGCCTATGTTCTGAATGCTTTGACTGTCTTTGCATGCGCATGCGGAAATACTGACGATCGCCTTCCAACACTGGCTCATATGACAGGAGATCATCCGTATCATCTGAGGATGCAGTTGCATCACTGTCACTGGCATGTTGCACACCGCCTACACTCTGTAGTGTTTGTCTTTCATCTCGTTCTGTTCCGTTTGGGTAATGAGATGAAGCTCCTGTTCTGTCACTAAGACTTACGATGGTTTTGCCAGATACCAATACGCTATCTGCTTGCTTGGGACTGTGACCAGACAACTCCCTGGACGAACTTGTCGGTATTTTACTTTCCATTGGAATGCTGCTTCCAGCAGTGCTAGGAGGTGTTAGATCGTGAAATTGTTCCAATAACGCATGCGTGCCCGAATGAAGTACTTCATGAGATTTTCCACCAGTCATTTCTGTAGTAGTCGAAGGTGGTGTAACATGCTCTCCCCAAGCGATTCGCGAAGTCTTTAAGCTTGTTTCTATAGAACTACGTGAATTTTGCTCAGTTGAATATCTATTAGTAGTTGGTAAAAGGGGTACAGGTAATGCATCAACCGGTCCATCATCAATTAAATTGTGGTGGGGAAAAACTTCACGTTTGTCAATGGAAGCTGCAGGATATTCGTCCTCTAAAATCCTACCATTTGCGGCGCTACTAGTTGCAGAACTGAAGCGCGCTGGATCATGAGACGGTTTCTTGACAGCGAGTTCAGTTGATGCCGGCATCCTAACATTCGTGGCACTACTAGCTGCAGAACTGAACCGCATCAGGTCTTGCGTTGATTCCTTAATTGTTAGTTGGGCTGATGCAGGCATCCTATCATTCGTGGCACTACTGGCAGCCGAACTGAATCGCATCAGGTCTTGAGATGATTCCTTGACAGCGAGTTGGGTTGATGAAGGCATCCTAACATTCGCACTTGTAGCTGCAGCGCTGAACCGCATCAGCTCTAGTGAGGATTTTTCGGTGGTGGGCTGGGTGGAAATGGGCATTCGTACAATGGCGTCACTGTTGGCTTCAGAACTGAACCGCAATAAATCGTGCGATGATTTTTTGGCAGCTGGTTCTAAGTTTGACTTTGGAACTGCATCGACCGGGCTCATTTCGCTTGAATCATAAGGGACTCTTGCACTTGACCAGTTCGATACGCGTCTGGTTTCACTTCCTTCCGTGGCGTTACCCAGAGCAATATTGCTATCGGAAAACCTCCGATTAATTTCATCAAGTGAATATCTCTCGCCCAAACGTTCGTCGTTATGAGTGGAAAAAGCTCTTGAAAAAGGTGCGTCGTGTCTATTCAATCGCTCAATGGAGGACCGAGGTTTTGCCTGTGACGTCCATTGTGCTTCATGGACTCTTGACATACTAGTAGAAGCAGGCAGTCCAGCGCTAGACGTGGACCTTAAACTCTCTTCTGTCAAGGACTGTCTTTCAGAAGCCACTTCTTCTGCCTCGTCACTAACACTACCAGTCAGCTTTTCCTGTTTCAGTCTATCCAGCACTTGTTGTACTGCACGAAAGTTTGGACCAAGCAGTTTGGATACTGGACTCTCAGTATCACTGTCACTGTTCAACTGAGGGGCACGTCGCTGCCTCAACTCGCTCATGAGGCTTACGCCTTCCTTGGTATGGGGAACACTCCTCGCAATGATGTCCAGAGGTGTGATGTTGTGGTCACTCTGTGGTTGTGATAGTACAGACACATCACTAGCACTGTCTTTACTAGCAGCTGTCCCAGTGTCGATATCTGAGCTCTGCGAAGAATGCACGACAACTGGTTGATTGCTGGCCATCCAAGGCGTCCGTTTAAGGTCTGGACCGTCTCTTCCGTCAGGTTGTGATCTTTCTGGTGGCGAATGTTTGCTGTCATCATCTGACCAAGCATGTGGTATATTTTGTAATCTGTCGCAACTGTTTGATCCATGGGCAGCTGTGACTGCTCCAACATTTGTGACATGACTAGAGTCTTCATCATCTTCTCCTACAGCGTTCGGTCTCAGAGGAAACCATTCACTTGCTGGTAGTTTTGGTTCGGCGCCAGACTCGTCCATGCTGAAGGAAGTACCACTGTCACCTGGATCATCCTCTTGTACACGCTCTGTTAAGATAGAAAATGGAGATAAAAAAGATTGAAAGAGCTTTTAAGATGAGGAAAGATCAGTTTTCTTACTATCACTTCGTATGACTATTTTCATGTGGAAGAGTACTGCATTGGTTTCATCGCATTTGCCAACATTAAGCGGTTGGCCTTGTGAAAACAAAGTGACCGACTTCTTTGAGCAAAGTCGGTTGTCTGTACTTATTTAAACACGCTGCATGGTGCTTCTTTTTCAGCGTACGTAGGTATTACAAGCAAGACCAGTTTCTCACGGAAAGAAAGAAATCTTAGCAACTAACGTAAAAGCACAGTTATGAGATTCCGACTGAGAAAAAATAAACTCACAAAACAAAACTTGCCTAGAGACTTCCAAATTAAAGAAAATGCTAAATTTTAATATTTAATTTTCATACTGAAATACAAACGGTATATAAGATAAAGTAGTGAAGAAAAAGTTTCGGTTGAATGGTCACTTCCCAAGATTTCTTCCACAGAGTGCAGTATCTCTGTATTTTTTCCATAGTTTCAACTCTTGGAGTAGAAAGTGCGTGCATACCATTAAGATGATGCGGATCAGGATCTGGGATCCGAGATCACTCAGATCATAGCACATCCAAGGTAACGACGAATCCTTCCTGGAAGAGGATTCATCAAGTCATTTGATGTACCATGATTCGGGTAATCTCACTGGAACACTCCCAGTGTCTTACCATCCTGAGCTGTTGCAGTTTCTTGTTGCAATGCCTCAGTATTCAGCAGTCCAACCTCATCAAGATTTTCAACGCTCAATGAACCACTGCTCAGACCACTTGCTAATATTTCATCTGTATGTAGAGCTGATGGCTGGGGTGACTGTGGTAAGCCTGCAGCATGGCTTAAAGACCTAACACTTGCCTTGAGTTGCTCCAGTTCATACCACTGTTCAGCATATGGGGACAGCTACAAGAAATTATTATTATATGCACCATAAGTGTAGAAATGTTTTTAAAAGGGCTTCAGGGTGTCAGAGATAAGGCAAGCTGTTGCATTTTTTTAGTTTACTAGCCTGGAGCAGTGGTACTGCCAGCCTACCAATCCCCATCTTCACTAACATTTACTGTTTCTCAGTAAAGGCTGCTTGCCCGCCAAGTAAATCGTAATAAAATCAAGCTAGCCTGACTGGTCGATCCACTAGCACCAGGCTACTGGACAGCATTTTTGTTGCACCCTGGCTTTGGTTTACTCCTGCCCAATAATAATGTGCCTTTATGGTACTAAGACAAATGCATGGGATTTCTTTTGTACGCATGTCCTTTATTGACAACATACAAACAGAAACAAACCAATCATGTTTTCAGATGACTACCAGTTCATGATGGCTGAATTGACAATCATTTTATCAACACTTGTTCTAACATCAAGTTCTCCTTTAGGTTCGTAAGCAAATTCAAGTTAATTAAGGGAGTGGTTCATTGGGATGAACCAGATCAGGATCCCTCCATGATGTAAGATCACTCAGATCATAGCATCTCTAAGGAAATGATGAATCCACCCTGGGAAAGGATTCATCAGTTCCTTTGATGCACCATGGTCTGAGTGGTCCTGGATCACTAGGAACACACCCTACAAGACATGGGGCTTTTTTCCAGGTACCCCTTGGAATAATCCCGACAAGTCCTTAGTACCCTTTGAAACTACTGGTAGGTGAAACAAATCACATTCCCTTAGAAAGATTTCACTAACATGGGTAATGTTGTCTTCATTTTGCTTCATGTTTTCATCTGGGTTGGTGGTGCTGGTCTTGTTTACTTCTTCATTGTCAAATCTGACTTCAGATCCAACAACCTCAGAAGAATCTTCCTCGTCAAGAATAAACCACTGCTCGCTTCCATCCTGAAGGAAAAAAAAATCAAGATCTTAAAAAAGCAATCTGCAAGTGTGACAAAAGAAGCCCCATAAAAGCAATAATAATAAATAACTATAGTAAATCAAAACCACTATATGCCCTGAGTACTAACTATTTAGCAGATCGTCCCCTTCTTTTTCATTCCCCTTCTTTTCACTCCCACCCAACCATTTTTTAAGATATGTTTACTGAAAGAAGGTTGTATGCTCAAGTTCTGGTTAGAACAGCAACCAAAGATTAAAAACCTGGTAAGATCATGCTTAAGGCCCTGTTAGGGAAAAATTCCGACAAGCAGCATGGCCTTAAAACAGCAACATGAGACTAGTTAAAATGCTGACAAATGACACAAAGATGGGACAGTTAAATACCGGCAAGGACATAGTCTACTCATCAAAATGTAAAATGACTGTATTTAAAATTCAGACCAGGGACATAGGTATGTGTACCCCCCTAAGAGGGCCTATGCTTGCTGTAATAAGACCTTGCCTCAGTTCAGAAGATCACATCATTGGTTGACATAATCTGGCAGCATTGTCCCCTTCAACCTACCTTTATAACTCAAAGGGGACATAAAGAACCAACATGGTTGTTCAAAAAGAGCATAGAATCAAGAGCCTGTGCTGTCAGCTATTTTCCATGAGTTGAGTGGAATACTGTGAGTATTAATGGTGCAAGCTGGACGTGTACTGTTCCTGCCATTTCTGGCAGACCTAATACATAAAAATGGACTATTCTGGCCACTATTGGACAATCTTGTTAATTTCCTGAGGGTTTATATTACTTTCAAACCAACAAACCCTGAACACTTGAAATATTTCAGAAATGTTTATTGTGTTACAACCAATCACAGCAAAGATCAGGGCATGCCAACTAAACATAAAACCACAAACTAATGAATCTGTTGCTTACAGTTTAGTTTTCTCATGCCTAATTGGCTTTTTCTTGAAACAGAATAACAGGTCAGAAATATTTCTGGTGTTCATGGTTTCCTACCTAGACTAGTTCATTACTATTTTTGGGTGATTTATGAGGAAAATTAATAATTGTATATAATTTTTATAATTGTTATTGTTAACACTTACAATATTCTCCCAGTTACCCATACCTTTTCTTGATGATCATTATTTGGTTCAGCACCTTGTGTGCTAGCACTAAATCCATTGTTCTGAAAAAATGCTGAAGATTCTTGCTGTTCTTCAGAATGTGTCTCAGATGGCAAATCAGATTCTAAATTTGCTAGTAAATGCCACTGTTCTAAGTACTCCTGAATTCAAAGTAAAATGCAAATGTCAGTTGACTTTCTCAATACCATGTTTATTTATCATATTAAAATAAACTACTGTTGTTCTTTCAAAAATACAATAAGGATATTCTAAGCAACGGATATAATTTATTATGAGCGGCACATATGCACATAAATGTATTTGCTCTTCATATGACATTATGGATAATTCTTAATTTTTCCAGATTTTTTACACAACTACTTTTAATTAACTCCAGCCTGTGAAGAGCCCCTTCCTCTCCTCAAAAAAAAGGGGGAAGAGGGACATCTGTGTCGTGCTATCATTAATTGTGTTCTGGTTTCCTTGGAATGTTGAGGAAAACCTCTGATACGTGATTGGCTGTTATGTCAACCAAGATTCTATCTCTAGATTTCAGCGGGGAATTTAGTTATTCCTACATGCGCCAGTGTTTGTTCATACAATAAAAGAAAAGAAGAGCTCTAATTTCTAATGAGAAAGGACAGATTCTTTACATGAAACCAAACAACCAAACAGATTAACTTAGACTGCATAAAATGTTTCATTGGAAAAGTAAACTACTTCCGAGCTCAAAATTCTGTCAGAACCAAAAAACCACAGGAAAGCAATGTACAG